TTGGGGAGGGAAGGGGTTTTGATCCAGGCGCGCCTTTACATCAGTTTACAGCACGAAAGCAAAGCAACCTGAAATGAACACCTTTCTCATTTCACGGCACAATTTCTGTAAAAGCATCTGCGGCTGGTAGAGACCTGCCTCACCAAAGCGGTCAACTGCAGCACAGCTCGGCCTATTTCGCTGAAGCCTGCTCACTTCACGAATGTCAGCGCCGCGACCGCCATGCACGCGGGCCTGCTGATAGGCGTTGGCCCTTAGGCTGGTCGGCGACATCCCCGCTCTAAGAAGGACCATGACCAAAGCAACTGAAAGGGTTCTGAAGTTGCAAACTATTCGGGGCATATATAGCCTTCCCCGATACCCAGTTTTCCATTGCTTTGTGAGCAGGCTTCATGCTGTACTGATACGTGCATTTACGGGCTCGAACGTGAACTAACAACGCCGGTGCCAGAGACAAGAAATGAACCTGCGAAGCTCCTGCTGCATGCTTCAGTTAAAGCATGCCGATGCGCTAGTTCACATGGCTAGTCTCCAGATGTCCGCCGCCGGGTCTGTAGTTAGTGCCCTAAACCCTAAACCCTAAATCCTAATCGGTACTGGAATCCTCGCAGTGGTTCGTCCGAGTGTGAGTGCTGAAATCCTAAACCCTAAACCGTAAACCAGGAAAGCTTGGCCACGAAGCCCAGCGCAGAACTAATGTGCCGACTCGCAGGTGCCTCGAGCCACGTAGGCTTCCAAGCTCCGTTCGCACGGTATAATCTCAACGGAATATGCACTACTAGGACCAGGGGCCACTAGGCCCCTTGGATAAGCTTCGGCGTTCAGGGCGTATGAAGACGAGAATGTACATGTAGTCCTCCAGTATTAGTTTATGACTATCTAGTACAAATAAATACATCCACAGACAGATATGTATATACAAACCCTAAACCTTAAACCCTAAGTATATGTCCATACACATCTTCTAGCGCCTGCGTTGGGCGTTCGGGCTCGACGCTGTGCCCGCCCATCCTAATGAACTTACCTCGCAGTCGGCTTTGGGTCTCAGGAGTGAAAGCCGGGTGCCGGGGTATCAGAAGCAAATCCCAGAATGGGTTTCTGGACATGAGAAGATCACCACAAAGGCTGCCCCTGGCACATGATGTTATGCGATTTAACCAAAAGGTGTCCGTGCATGAACAAAATCAGTACCACCGTTTCGTTTCAGATATAAAAAAATTGGCGCGAAGATCTACAGCGATCGCGAGAACCATCGCCGGCTGTATCAAAGTCATGAGGCTGTGATCCTTGGTTCGCCGAAGAGCCCGGGGTTCATGCGAGGTCCCAGCTCCCAAGCCAAGCCGCACAGGCGGTTTAGGGGGGGCAATTGCTGTTGATTTGCAGTAAATCCCATAAAGTTGGGAACCGGATTAAGGCCAAACAGTGCTGGGATTCCCTATAGATTACTCTTAAGGATTGAGGCTACAGGGTTTTCAGCTTTTGGGCATCTACTGTAGTACTGTTGTGAATAGTTTAAGTTCGTAATGGCCCCGTCATACTAACAGTGACCACAAACACACGCACAAAAAAAAGCACCAGAGAAATGTTGAAATAATGGACTGTCCATGATCATACTTATTATACTTCGTGACTTGTGCAAACATGAGGACCAGTCGCCTTGGAATACATACGCGGGGCCTGGGACCTTTAGCAAGCCTATAGGGCCTAGAAGTGGGGGACCCCGTTGTTTGGTCAGCTTTTCTCACTCTGCTCGCACTCCGATCATCGCTTTCCGGAAGGCCTGCCAGGGGAGAGGTGGAGACGTCGTGGTTTATGATCTAGTCTTGGGGCTTCCAATCTCGACAGCCATTAATCACCTGGAAGTTAGACTTGAAGGTTGATGACCCTCGGGTTCAATCATTCTGGGGTTTGAGAGCTCGAGTTTGAAGCTGAGGATAAGCTCCAGGCTGGATTTGTTTTGGGGGTCGGGAGTGCAAGTAAACAGTATACGTGGCCAGTTATGGCCTAGGGCCCCTAGGGCCACATGGGGTTAGGAGCAAAAGGCACGGGTTTAGGGCACACCAGCAGCCGGGGTATGGACCGAGATACTGCTACTGATCACTCATTACATTGCTTTCTCAGCATCCTCGAATCCAATGCACAACTCTGGCGAGCACAGCGCGCTTGCAGGGACAAAGCCTCGGAGCCCCCTTATGACCTTTTCTTTGCTAGCATGTGACAACATGTGTAACGATGAATGACGCATCAATTTGAACTCGCATCGGGTGGGCTCATGAGGCGAATCATGTTACCAGACTGGAGGCGATAAGCTGGTTGGCAGCGCACACAGCTGGTTGGACTCTCACCCTAGGCCTTGAAGTCTTACGACCCAAAACTTCCAAATACACGTCAGGCCTGAACCGATTGAAATGTAGCAGTACCCTACATGCTCTTGGTCCAACCTGGCTGGCTCTACCGCTCCGAACAGCTCCTGTACAGTTAAAAAGGCCTGACACTGGCACACGACGTGTGTGGCCAGCCTTTGGCTGCCTGGCCATAGCACAGCCATGGGAGGAAGATTCCAGCCTAGCCTTATCGTAAGTGCAGTAAAAGAGTTATTAGGCACTATCATCTGAATCATGTCGATAGTTGAAGCCTGATTCACCAAAAAACAGGTGACAGATTTATGATTTAGGATTTAAGGATTATAGTTAGAGCCATAGTAATATAGTAAGCCTGAAGAGTACTCGAGCTGGACCCCGCACGGTTCAAGACAGCACCAACTTGACCTACCTAGCCTACCTACACCTGACCATATCCCACACTTGACACTCTCAGCTTGGATCTTCCCCACTACGGCTGCGGGTGGCCGACTGGAAAAACCCGGTCGCGACATGGCGATCCTGCTGTGACTGGAGGCTTCTAGTTCGTCGTTGACACCTCAGTCATCCAATCCGTGAGTGCGGCCATCGGCAAAATCTTCAATCGCTCTGCGGATTTCTTGAACCTCAGTCAAGGAACATCCAAGTTCAATGGCTCATAATGCAACAGCCACCAATACGCCGGAAGATGAGATGCAGGCTTTGGGACCCTTGGGACCTCGTTACCTCGTTCACCCGAACGCCGTAACTATGTGACTACAGTAAACCCAACAAAATTGGAAACCGGATTAAGGCCAAATAGCGCAGTGCTGGGATTCTTTTTACATAAGTTTTACATAAGTCTTAAGGAGGCGGCTATTGGATTTCCAACTTTTGGGTTTCTGCTGTATGTGAAGTACTGCACTCACTAGCTTCTCTGCACTCGCATGAACTTGAGACTGAGTCTAGGCTTTGCCTGGAACGATCCAAGCTCAAGAAGACTGCAAGTCTGAAAGATGCAATGGGTTTAGGATTTAGCGATTAGGGCCACATATCATATATCATATCATATCATATCCCCATATCATATCATAAAAGCCGTCATAGAATAGAATCATAGTTTATGCATCACATAGTTTCACATAATGACATAAACTATCTCCAATGAACCGACTGTCCTTGTATATTATATATAAATATATAAACTATATAGCTCAATTATAGCCCGCATGATGCCCACATGACCCACCTGGTGTGTCTTGATCAATATTCTGACGACCCTACTCTCTTCACGCAACTAAATCCAAATCAGCCCTAATCCCCAGACCCTAACGGCAGCCCCTTTGGCCTCAACAAACCTGCTCAAGAACCTGCAACAACCTTACAAACTTCTGGCAACTTCAGTGCTGCCAAACTTCTCACGGGAAAGCGCTGCCTTCTCACGGCTTGTCTTGTTGACGAATTTGTGTAGAATTGTCGTAAGACCATGAATCGTCACGCTGTACTGGCGGAGGCACTTGTGCTGGCTTTCCAGCTTTTTGACAAGCTGCAAATGCACCGCCGTAACCAGACTGCATGAGCTCCATGTCTTAACAGAACTCTGCACTGCCTCCATCATTCCATTGATCCGGTCTGCATTCTGTGTCACCTGACAGCTTGACAGGGTGCTTGCGGTTCTACCAGAATTTCGTCATAGAAAGGCGTAGGAGGTATACAGAGGCTCCGTAAGAAGGCATTTGTTGAAGCTTCGGTGCGCCCCAGGCACTAGGAACAGGCCAGGATTGCTGATATAGTAACTGCAGACTTTTGGGTTCAGGCTTGACGCGGGCAGGTTGTTGGGTGGCCCTTTGCATATCGGGTAACCAGGCCTCCGCGACGTAAGTACTTTGGAGCTCGCTCGAATCGCTTGTGTAGTTTAACTGTTAATAACCATTGTCACATCATACTATACATGCAATGCTGCAATGCTATGTGTGTGCCCATGGCTGGCGATCAGTTCGTACTATCATATATAATGAAGGTTGAAAATTACCACTGTACCACTTACCACAGCAGTCAAAGCATACAGCTGCACGGGAGATTCCAGTTTAGTCCACTCCTGGCAATTTCCCAAGTGCAAGTCAAAAACCAAAAGAGAGTTGCACAGAAGTTGCACAGTTACACATCAATCACATCAAATCACATGCATCACCACATCACATCACAACTACAAGACCGCATCACACCGCATGGCATTGATGGCATCCATGTCACATCGCACCGCATCACATGTCATTGTGGAAACATCACTCATCGACTCATCACATTCATCACTCATCACACCACATCACGCAGACCCAGGCGTCGCATCCGCCCGAAGGCCCACAATAGACCTGAATGGTGACCTGAAGTGTGACGATCTCCAACACGCTAAACCTGGAGCCCATCTAAGAATTAGATTCTAACTCAACCCAATGCCAATGTCACAGTAATACTGACTAACACCGACGCCGACAGTCTCTGTCAAAGCACTCCAAGAATCGGGATCTCAAGTAGCTGCTTCACTACTTAAAACAGTTTCGGCAAATCCAGCCGCTGACAGCTAACAACTTGGGTTAACGGCGGCCTAACCATAAGCCTCAATCGAAAAAAGTACTCCAGTTAGCAGACTCGAAAGACCGACTACAGCGAAGAGCTAAAACTTATCACGGTCTTGAAGAACCTCCAAATCCAAGGCAAATCCTGCAAGAGACCACTGGCCTTGATGTGCGTTGCCTTTTGAAACAACGTGGTCTTAATGGCCACAATGTTGCGGTTTTCAATGAGCTTCTCAAACTGGTTGGGGATTGCTTTCACTGCTTCCTCCAATATGGCACAGAGGGTCTTCTCCATGACAACGAAAATGGGCCCCAGCATGTACTCGGAGAAGAAGTCGAGAAGCTCTTTTTCCTGATGCCTGCCGCTCTCCTTGAGCTTCTGCGTCGCCTTGTCTGCTGAAGCACAGAGCAACTGCAAGTCAGGCTCGTCATTGCTGAGCTGCAAGTGGATGAATTCCACCACGCAGCTTCGCAGCGAGTTGTACTCAAAGTCCTGCTGCAAACGCTGCATGACGTCAGCGCTGATCTTCAGGATGGGGCTCATCTTGGTCAGAACCTGGTACTCGTGGTTGGGGCCCGGAAGCTCTGCAAGCTTTTGCCACAAGTCCTTGTTAACTCGCTGTGGTGACGGCAAGAAGCGGCTCTGGTAAGAGGCGAAGGCCTCTGCGGATTGGATCAGCTTGACTTGGAACTCCACTTTTGCGTTCTGCCACAGCTCAGGCAGTGATTTGTCCACGGTGGTCAACAACAGGGCCAGGAAGTCCTCTGCGCCGTCAACCTCGAGAGCAGCGATATTAGCATGGAAAGGTTCGTCCACCTTTGCACAGGCATTGCAGAAGGTTTCCAGGCAACTGCAAAAGCTTTTTCGGTCCCAAGCTGGGATACTGTTCGACAGTTCTCTCTGCCACACTCGAAAACTCTTGCCGCCGCCACCAGTCTGGGCCATCAGCTGCAGCGTTGAAGATACGAGCTGCACCTTGAAGCAAAATGGATAATGACTCAGTCATAATCATTCAATCACTCACGGGTTTAATTTCAGGCGTTTATGCAAGTTTACAGGATTTTCATTAAATGTGGACATGTAGAGTAGACAGACTGGGGACGAAACTTTGGGTTGAGGACTCTAGACCACAATGACTCCAGACTCACGTATACTTAGTTCGCACACTTCTAGTTCCACAAACCCACGGGTATCGTAGAATGCTACGGGCTACGGCTAGAGCACTACAAGGACCAGGATACGATAGTGATACATGATGCAACTTGATACAACCTGGAACTTGAGCACTTTCAAACTGTAGAGGATGGAAGCGAGTCTTTTGGAATCATCATCAGCTTTATAGTAGCAATTAGAAAACTCAATACCAACAGCACTTTATATAATGTATATAAAACAACACAACTAGGAAACCTGGCCAAGTTGATGAGGCGCCAGCTGCTGCAACGTGTTGGACTTGGCCAGAACGTTTGTGACCTGTGGGTCCACTTCATTCACAACCGTAGCTTTGATCTCGTCCAACAGCTTCTGCACACCGTCACCAGCAAGCATCGTCATGACGTCCCTGTGACTGCTCATAGAATTGAGGAAAGTGGCAACGCAAATGTCCACGGTGGAATCGTTGCCGAAAGTAGGGATGACCTTGCTAAACTGCAAGGTCAGCCCTTCAACAGCCCGGGAGCACAAGGTAGCCACGAAGGTCTCAAAGACTTCCACAGCGGCTGTTTTGGTCCCTGCACCGGCCACCTTCAAAGCTTCAGCCAAGCGATTCGAAGCATCGTTGATTTCCGACAGGATCTGCTTGAACTTTGCGACGGTTTCGGGCGGAGCTGAAATGTCTTCTTTTGCCAGGTAGAGGACCAACACTTCCTCTTCGGAGACCTCCTTGAAAAATCTCTCAGCTGAACGCAAAGCTTCTGCTGCATCAGACTGTGCTGTCAGCTGGGCCACCTTGTCCTGGCAGCGCTTTTGCAGACGCTCCCCGATTCCGTGGTGAGCTGCCCTCAACACAGGCGTGTCAATGCCACCAAGAACTGCAGTCAGAGCCTGCTGCATCTCCATGATCTGGCTTTCGTCGGAGACACTTACGACAAGCTTCACGGCATGAATTGGCTCTCGAATGCTCTCGAACATACCAAGCCGACAGACTACGGACAGCGCCTCACTAAGCTCGGCAGCAGCTGCTTCCACCATGCCGTCGCCGCCAGCTGCTTCGTGCTTGTCCAGAACTTGTCCGATCAAGCTCTCCAGCGTCGCCTGTGCAATTTCCAGCGCCTTCTGCGGTTCGTAAAGGCTTCCAAGGTTCTCCGCCTGCAAAAAGTCGGCAACAACGGTCCAGCTGGCTTGCTGGATGGCTTGTGTCACAGCACTTTCCAGGTACCCCTTTCGAACATCAGCAGGGAACAACTGAAAAAGGTCTTGGTAGTTCCGAGACAGCTGCTCCATTTTCTCCTTGAACTCCGGAGCTGCCTTCTTCCTGGCAGCATCAGTTTGAGAGTTTGGATTCTTCTGGACTTCAAGCTTTGGGTTTTCTGATACTTGGAAGGCATGGAAGTTAGGCAGCCTAAGGGGCCTACTGGCCTACGAACGGTGAGCCAAACGGTGGGCATGTGTGTGGCAGTGACATTAGTGACATTAGTGATGTTATGCGTATGCGACATCATGGGTTTGGGCTGGGTCTAATTCTGAACACTGCTCTGAATACGGCCGGATAGCCGATGTAGAGTGCCTGTTTGTAGACTGCGCATATAGGCAAGCATCTCAGCAGATTAGATAAATCGAGAACACAGGAGAGGCTGAGAGAAGGCTGTACAACAGAATGCTGACTGACTGACCGACTGACTGACTGGCGGACTGACTGATTGACTACGTGACTTACCACTTACCAACCAACTAAACTAAACTAAGCTCAAGCAAATTAGGAATGATTGCCCAATACTACGACTGATGGCTCTGCCTCTAACCTACCTTGCTTATGAACATGCCTATGATGCCTATGATTCTATGATATATGATGATAAATTATGATATATGATTGACAATGATTGATAAGATGATTGACAATGATTGATAAGATTTCTTGCATTGATGTCTACTTTGCACTGTACACTGTCTCCTAGTCGTCTCGTTCTTGCAAATCTAATCCAGCCTATGCACTGGAACTGGGACGTCTCTGGAACATGGAAAAGTCCAACACTACAAGCTGCAGCCGTACAGTGTCAAGCCGTGTAGCAAGATAGTGAAGCCTATCCATCAGCCAGCCTGTCTAGAAGTCCAATACAAAAACACCGTACGGTACAGACCATATGTATGCCGTATGCCGCAGCATGCCGCCGTAATATCATACGGACCGTACATGTCTCCCCACGATCCGGCTGGCCTTGTGGCTGGGGCACCACCGTAGAGGTAGGCATTCGCAGCCTGAAGATGAATTGAGGAAGGAAGTGGGGGGCAGTGGGGGGCATGGTCACACAGTCGCGCCACAGGACAGCGCTGAGCCCAACCGCGAACCGGCCTTGCAGCACGATCGAACCAGGTCCAGCTTGGCACCCAGGCTCTTGCAAGTCGCACTTGCCTGAAAAGCATGTCCTTGCTCGAACTGCTTCAACGCCCTGCTGATCATCCGGTCCACCCTGCCGAAGCTCTGCCCCGTTGGCAACGTTGGAAACTGATTGAGGCCACTGAACAGTGCTTCCAGCTCCTGCTCCAACTTCTCCAGCTCCTCCTTCTGCAAATCCTCCGCTGTCTTCTTCGCTTTCGATTTTGGCACAGCTTTGGCTTTTGCCGCAATGCTAGATGCAATGCCCAGGGAGTTCGCCTCCGCTGCCTCCAGTTCCAAATCCACAAAGGCTGCTCCTGTCACTGCCGTCATTGCACCGGGCGAGCTCGGGTTCGGCGGCCCTTTGTCACTTTTCTCGGGCTCGGTGGGTGCTGCTTTGGCTGGGAGCCTGGCCGCACCACTGTGAGATGCAGTGTCGTCCTTCAGGCGGGAGGCCCATAGGGTCTGCTGCTTGGCTCGATGCCTAGCCTAGACCCAACAGAGCGACCTCACAATGCCACACCCTGCAGTCATGAACACAAGTACCAAGCCTCAAATGCGACTCTCAGAAACAACACCACCACCAGGCCCCACAACAACAACAGGTTGACAACAGGACCGTTGACAAGACTGAGAAACTTGCAAATTTACAAGCACCAAGCAGTCGTAAAGTGGCCTGCAACTTCTTGGGTTCCCATCCCATTGTGGAGAGAATGAGCTGCCCTCTGCCAACGAAGCGCTTTGCTTGCTGGTCCGGGGCGAGCCTGAGATCAAACAACTGCCAGGAACGGGGAACCCCGAAACCGGGCACATCTCACACAAGGCTTTACTCAGGCGTTCAAGGAGCGAAACGAACCCATCGTCGAGCTTTCTCTTGTGAGAGACAGTCATGCGTTCTTCGACGTTTATCTCGTAGACGTCCCTGGGTCCATACCACGCCTGTTTTGTTAGAAATCAGAAGATCAAACATGAACATGAATTTATGAATGTGACTCAATGTGACTATGATATATGAAGCAGTAATTGGTACTACGATTGCCACTACTCTACTATGCAGCCAGTAGGCACCAGCACAGGTGATTCTGAAAATTCGGTCTTCATTGTGGTCGTGGTCTTGACACTACACAAAAAGTTCATGTTGCCAGAACTACACTTAGTCACCTGCCACTTACCTGCTAAAAGAACCTGCTAAAATGACTGACTTACCCACCGATTCCAACCTACGCTCGTATCACCCATATCATATCTTATATCTCAGACAGCCTGCCTGGATACGGACTTGGGTCAAGCTGCTGTGATGGTTTGACCCCACCACCGCCACCACCCCACACCACAAGCCATTGGGGCGAAACTGGCAATCCCGAACGTGATGCTTGGTCTGGAGTGGAAAGTCTGCACAACGGATTGAGAAAGTGTTGAAAGTTGAAAGGTGCACGTGAATCCAAACGGCAGGGGCGATGGGGGAAGGGGCTCCAAGTCTGGCTAGGCCGCTAGGCCCACGCACGTGCAACGAATGAACGGCGGGCGGTTCTTGGGGTGGGGCATGGTGAGCATTCCAATTAAGCGCCTCCGAGTAAGGGCTTTGACTTGGCTGCGATCACTGGCCCTGCCCTTCACTGTAGTTCAAAATCAATCTGAAACAAAAAACCATCTCCAGGAATCCCAATTCATGTCAAAATCATCGGACGACCGAGCTCTCCCTGACGACAATCCTTTCTGCCAGTTCTTCAAGGATCCCTCCGAAATCATATGAGATGCCCCTTAGAAGTCCTCAGCACCCTTTCCGAATCTAGACAAGCACCACTTGTGCTTTTCTACTGAAATATTAAAACCATGCTGGCCTTGTAGAGCACTGCTTGGCTGCCGTTGGGCAGATTTGTCATCTCTCCAGCCATCGGAGGCTCCTCCTGGTTGGGATGATGGATTTTCCAAGCTTCTTTGGTGTATCCCAAGCAGCGCCCCAAGGGGCGGATGACCGTTACCGTCTCTTTGTCCTGGTGCACTTGCCTGGCAGCTTGTAACATAATATCAATCATAGAATCATATCATATCCATATCATATCATTACAACAAGGAGGTTGAGCTGGAGGATGGCACCAGAGCATGATGGATGATTCCTGGATGATGGATGAATGATGGATGATTGATGTTTGATGATGAGAGACTATGAGAGATATGATATGAAGCTATGATTTGGACATGAACTGGGAGATGGTATGATGCAATGACATGAACCATGAGTCATCAGTGGTGAATGATACGAGATAAATGATAAAAATGATCTGTTGGGGGTGTGGGTCAGCCACCGGCGCAAGCATTCCATCACGGAGTCTGGCATTAACCGGGGTCACACACACACACACTATGACTATGACTATGACTATGCCGGGTACGGCCCCCATACAGTAACCGTCTATAATAGGGCTACTACTAAGGGCCTTATATATCTATATTATGAATATTATCCAACTGTTACTGAGTGGGGGCCGTACCCAGACTATGCCGCCTATGCCGCCTATGCCGACTATTGCATGACTCGGTATGCAATGTACTGGCTCTACTATATTATATACTGCATACCTCATCATCGAAATAGCGTCGACAAATCTAAACTGAAACCAAACACACAGAAACGACTGACAACGCCACGCAGCTTATCTGCATCACAACTGAGTCGACGTCACCATCATACAGCATACACCAAAGCTACCCTGGCTACACCAGCTGCAAATTGAAGCAATGGGACTGCTTTCACTGGCTTTCACTTCTTACCGCTAAGCCAAGCAATGCTTCTCACCAAGATGCTGCAGGGGCTCTGGCTTCCAAGCCTCTGGCTGGTGCAGCAAGGGGTAGATCTTCACAAACTTGCCATGGTGAATCATGAAGATCTTGCGCTGATCAGGCGAGCTTTGTATCAGAGCGACCAGGTCCTCAGAATCGTTTCCAAGTTCGGAAATAAGCCGTACAAGTTTTATACTTACATGATTCAATAATAAGTGATAATATTCATACAGCTCATACATCAAGCAGCACTTGCATGCCCGCATACACACAGACATCAACACATCATCTGATATATGATATATGATATATGATAGAGATATATGATATGGTATGATACACATACTCACATACATTACATTCTACTATTCTACATTGTTACATAGTTACATAACTTACTGATGTAGAATGCATGTCTCTCTGTATGGTTCGATCTCTTTCTGGCAAGCTTCACCCCATATCATTTCGCCGTACATCAACAAATGCACCACGTGGCACAGCTCACACTTCCCGGAGCGGGCGAACTTCAACTTTCGGTCCCGGTGCGGGTGGGCTGTGGAGCTTGTGAAGCCGCATGCCTGGCAAACCTCCTCGCCAGGATCATTAAGAAGGTCATCCATACTGAAGTCGTCATCTTTCAAGTACTTCTCGATATCCAGCTCCAATGACCTGAAAGCACTGACAGCACCAGATGCTACACGGCTCAGGATATGATTCAGAACAGTGTGCAGAGAGGCAGCGCAAGGCAAGAACATGACTGAGCTGTCTGGGCTATTCAAAACACCTGAGGTCATGGCGACGCACCCCCTTCTGCAGACATCAAGTCCACCACAGCCGAGTGTCTCAAAGCTCAGCACGGATCTTTGGAAAATAACAATGAGCAAGCAATCGGATGAGTGGGCCGGCCGATGGATTCTCGAAGCCAGCACAGCTAGCACAGCAACACTGGCCCAACTTCGAGTCAGGACCTCTTCAATTCGGGCTTTGAATCTAAGACCGTGGAGTGGAGTACGGGTTTCATCTGCACGTCAGCCAGCAAGGTCAGAGGGACACATACCGCGGCCCTACAAAGATCATGAGTCATGTCCAGCATACATCACATCAATGAGTCAATCAACGAAACTCAACGGATCTGCTATCGAACGGATGCATCTTTCGTGGCCTGCTTCCACGTCCGGTCGGCCCCTTGTGTTGGCGCTAGGCCTTTGTGGCCTCTACGACACCAAACCCAACCCTCGCTGCCATCGCACAGCCATCACTGCCATCTCCTTTCATCAATGGCAGCAGAGCTCTACACCCAGCAATGAATCTATCGGTCGAGTACTTGGCATGTCAAAGTCTATGATCAGTCTATGACTATGACTATGTAGACTATGACTATGACTATGACTATGACTGTGTGATGGCAGGCAGCTCAAAAGTGCTGTCACACGGCAAGGCACAGGCCTTGGCAATCCCCCAACATCCTCCAAAATTTGTAGCCTACGGCCGGCCATCTGGCTCGCCGACGAAACAGCAAAGCGGCAATGTACAGCAGGCAGCAAGGAATCCTTGGCTGTAATTGTGGAAGGATACTGCGTTGCCAGCTAGCTTTGCAAGAACCCTCTCCGGGGTAGCACGCATGGCTCTGCTCACCCGGGAATCGTCAACATTCATGCCGAGCAGGCGGAATTTCTCTTTGTTGAGCAAAAAACGTTGTTTTTTGCGCAACCACTGTTTCGAACCAACCGTGAGACATGTGATCTTGCCGCTGTTGGTGTAGCAGCGACCCATGCTCTGGGACCTCAGCCAGCAAGCTCTGTTCTGATGCCAAGCGCTACGCAATCCCTGACTACAACTTTAGCTACAACAAGACTACATCACAACATCAGACTACATCACTACATCGACTACATCAGTACAGTACAGCAGACTGCATCGACAAGTCAACAATATCGAAATAATGCTAAACTTCTGCAACTGCCCTACATTCTGATGATGGACATCTGAAAAACAAGCAATGCTAAAACCACCCTTGGCACAAGTCCATGCACTCCTCAACCACTTGACCCTGCACGGGGTTTGTCACGTCATGGAAGATCAAGAGCTCTTGCTCACGCTCAGTCAAAGCCTCGAAGAAAGTATTGCCCGCATAGTCCTGGCGAGCCTCTGTCATCATGCCAGGTGAGACCTGCGCGAGTGGCAGGGGGTTCAGGTTTCTGGGTTGTGAGTTGTGGGCTTCTGAGCTTGGGTTTAGAGCTTTACGGTTCAGTTTTCTGGTTTGTGGGCTTCTGGGCTTGGGGGGCGGATGGGGGCTCTCACTCAGGCAGCCTGACACACCCCCAGCCTTATCCGAGGCTGTTAAATAAATCACATAGTTCCCCAGACACAAACTGTCACAGTCACAATCTCCATGTCTCATACGTAAGAAGAAAATACAAGGAAACCATTCTACAACTCCAACCCCCGTAAAGTCCGACCACGTTTCCCAAAACCTCTGCAGCCCCAACAGTCCTGAGCAAGATCATGGGCTCGACTGCAGACCTGATCCTGAACTCGGAAAGCCTATAGCCACAGCGCGAACATTTCACCGAAAGTTCCGGCTTTGGTAGCACATATATCATATATCATTGTATCATATCATATGAATCATATGTCAATACTGCCATTACCAGTATTATCATTATCATATCATCAGTGGTATTATATATTGTCATTGTATTGTATCTACTGGATACCGACCCATCTCTAGTACATAATAAAAAATATATATAATATACGCCAACATACACGTTATAGGTATACGGTATACGGTATATAAGTTTTATAGCTAATATTATATTTCTATTTGCCACACCGTATACACCAGAGCCCCGTCCAACAAGCTAGATGGCCTGCGAGGACTCCATGTAGTGCTTGTGAAGCCGCCGCCACTGTCTCTGAGTGTTTCTCAGCTGAGGCTTATGATTGCTCCAATGAGCAGCCATGTCCCGCACGTAGCCATCTTCGCCATCGTCTGGGTCGAGGAACTCCAGCAAGGAAGGCTGCGAGTACTTGCCATTCAAGATCCTCAGCCAAAGTGTTTCCAAGGCATCCATCAGGGTCGATGCATTGGTGTGATGCTTGCGGAGAATTCCTTGGTAATGCAGCCGCTGCCTGGTCATCGGCACACCGCACAGTGTTGGACAGACTTGCACACAACGGACTTCGTATCCGCAATCTCGGAGCTTGGCCATGACCTCGTCCTGATTGGTGGAACCGCCAACTCCGTCAGGGCTGTCGCTGGACTCGCCGCCGAAGTCATCGCAAAGGCCAACAACCTGGGAGGACGACAGAGTGCTGGACGTTTGATTGCTTAGGCTCTAGGGTGAGTATAGTCAGTATAGTATAGTATAATGCTGGGCAGTCTATGAATAAAGAGAATCACACCACACTGCGAAATTCCGAAATCGGCACCCTGATTTACCCCAACTCCAAACCTGGACCTGCACCACCCCGGCTTCAAAGCTGTGAAGTAGCAGCTCAACAGCAAACATTGTCATTGTGGACGAAAATGTGTCGCAGCAATACTGTAGGCAACAATGCCGCTGCTGATACTTAGAAATTCTCTCCCAACTACTTACTATTCTTGCTTGAACCACCGGCTCGTTTCGAAACTTCGACTGACTGAACTGAATGAAACAATGAAACCAAACAAAACCGAACTTTCCCAGAGCCAGTGGCCATTTCAAGAAAGATGTAGCGAGGCTGATGGGCTCGCAGGAAGTTGCAAAGCTCATAGAATGTCTTTCCAGTGAGTCCTGTGGCTTCCTTAATGCATGTGTGTGCCTCCTCCAGCTTTCTCTTGGGATTGCGTCTGGACCTGGGCATAATCCGGGGAATCATGGCATTTAGAATTGCTCGGCTCTTAGGGGCTTTGGGCAGGCGGTTACGTAGGTTAGTTAAGTTATGTTATGTGATAGATGATAATATATGATGCTATGTGGCATGCATACAGGCATACAAAGGACAGGGGAACTCACCGGCTCCTTGTGGCAACTAAGTGTCATGTGGTCCCTGTTGGTGGCTAGGAAGTTGAAATAGTTGAAGTTTAATTCAAGGGTCCATGGCAGTGCATATTCTTCGTAAGGGCCATGCGACGGCTTGGTTGAGGTCGGCAAACAGACGAATAAGTAACAGTACCAGTGTAGCAGTATAGACGACTGTATACAGTATACAGTATACAGTATACATTATAACTTACAACTATAACTTATAACTTATAACTCATTAATAAGTTTATACATTTATACCACTTGTATAGCTGTATAGCTGTATAGCTTTATCTATAGCAGTAAAACCGGCGGCATACGGTAGATAGTGGATACAGGATAAGATAAGGAGAAACGAAAACATAACCGGTGCAGCTAGTGCAGTGCAAACAAACAGACATAGACTGCATAGACTGATAGACTTGACTGATGATGACGATGATGATGATGAGGATGATGATGATTGATCACTAGAACTAGACTAGACTACTTTACACTTTGTGTAACAGAATTAATTACTGCAGTCAGTCTTACTGTCTTACCAATAGCTGCTGTGACTCAAGCCATCATCGTGTCTCCCCGGAGCACGTAGCGGTGTAGTACCGCTAAGCCGCTGGATGTCAGTGTTATGATGAGTTAGCACTGATATCATTCATACAATTGAGATCATTGATCACTGGTAAATCATAATGGTATGTAACGGTATGCAAACATACGATATGTATGATTCTATGATATGATATGATATGATGAATCATATCAGGGCACCAACCCAACATACCCAACAATCTCAAAACTTCGAGCCCCCCAGCTTGGACTTCGCAGGGATTCGTTCAAGCTAGGCTATGGGCTATGGGCTATGGGTTGGGTTGACACTGAAGGAGGCCTGAAGAACTAAACAGAGATCGACAAACACTGAGATGGTCTGAGATGAGCACACACTGTGGCACACCCAGCTGCAGAAGCACACGGTGGACTCTGGGCAAACACTGAATTCGCCCTTGCGCAGGTTCCATATGGCCACGTCAGCTGCGTCGGCAATATCGCTTCCCAGAATAGGTACTGCCTGAGAAAGCTTGATGAAATCCTGGACATGAGGGTCGATGTCCACACTCATCTCATGCTTCACAGCCTCTTCTGCCAAGAGGTCATAGTCTTGCAAGCGCCCGCCAGCGAACTCGCAATTCGCCTCCACCATGAGCATGAAGAGATTGGCCAGCACTTCCTGACCGAACACGGCATGTCTGCAAAATGCAAGTGAAACAAGACCAGAAAACCCTGAGAACCCGAATACCTGGAAATACCATACCACTCGTCATGGAACTTCATGGCACTTCTGACAATGGCACGGTGGAGTCCTTCGTGGCAAAGACGACTCCGTCTGTTCCGCTGCACAAAGTCGTGACACGAAGAGGGCCGGAAGACTCCAGAAGCTCGGCTGCGAACTTTTGCCCAGCCTTTTTGCAATCTGGGGCCAGGTTGTCCCAAGCTTCACGCACTACCCGCCCAACGCCACAGGGTCCCGTGTCAGCAATGTTGATGCCAAGGGGGTCCGCAGGGAGTTCCAAGCACTTATCGAAATTGTCTTGCTCGAAGCGACCCCAAGAGCCGCCGCTACCGGTGCTCCCAAAGGACAAACGCCGTTGACCCACGCTCTTCCGCAGCTGGGTGTCCTGGCAATAAGGCAATTAAAAGACACTACTGCAAGTTTACAGCCACAGGGTTTTCGGACATGTCAGAATATCATATCATTCATATCATATCATATCATATCATACCATCTCATTATCGTATATCATACATTAACACAGGCAACTGTCTCAGACAACACATAATGTATAAATGAATGTAAAATAAAACAGAACACAGATTACACATGTCAGCACATTGTGATACAGTGTGCTATGATAGTGCGCAGTACAGTAAAACAGTACATTACTAATATCAGTGATTAATTATAGACTATAAAATGATACATTGATTGATACATACATGATACGCATGGTAATTACTATGATACGTACACCAATGGTGTTCAGTGAATGCTCAGTAGGTTATGACTCATAAGCTCATAAAGAATGTGAGTGCTCGGAACAGGTGCTCCAGTTGGACAGGTAAGGATGAGGCGTGACTTCGGCCTTAGGCTCCGGGTTTCTTCGGGGTTTAGGATGTAATAAGTGTGCAGGAGTGATTGCCGCAGATTGCCTTCATAACTGCACTGGGCCAATATTTGCTCAACCTCTCCTGATCGCGGGCTGTGGCACTCTTCGGCGTCACATTGGGAGTCTTGGGGGTCTTGAGAAGGGCCAAGAAGTCATCTTCATTATCAATGGAGTCGCCCACATCAAGCTGCGTCTCCAGCGGTCGTGCCATTCTAAGCGTTGGCCGTTGCCAAAGGTGCAGCCAGGCACTCAAAACTATGCCGACTATGCGGCCTGAAACTGAAACTCCAACTTTGGGCAACACGACATGACGACGTTTGTGTGGCTCAGAGACTCACAGCAACAAGCGCAACTACACGCGGTGCCTGCTCCTCAAATGCAGAAAGCATTCTGCTGCACGCTGTGCACTGTTATCTTATGTCATCGATGGTGATGACTGAAACATACTGATGTGAATGACTCAGCAACTCGCTCATATCATACCAAATCATATCCAGCAAAGTCTACAGCCTGGTCTCTTTGGACTTGTGATGATGATGTGTCAAAAAAGAGACATGTGGTCATGTGGTAAGGAAACGACTTAGCAATATTATAATATTGCTACTCCTCTTTCTTGATTCTTGGTCCACACTCAGCAGCATACAGCATACTTGATATAACTGGAAAGTATCAGTATCAGTGTATCATTTTGCACATACGGGCACGCCCCAGCAGAGCAACACCGTCAGGGTTGCGATTAGTGGGTGCGGATTAGTATTTGTGGCAGATTCACATGCTTTTCACAGGGTGTGGCTTGCTATTCATAGACACCGTCAGGGTTGCATTTAGTGGGTGTGGGTTGGTATTTGTGGCAGATTCACAGGCTTTTCACAGGGTGTGGCTTGCTATTCATAGACACCGTCAGGGTTGCGTTTAGTGGGTGCGGATTGGTATTTGTGGCAGATTCACATGCTTTTCATAGGGTGTGGCTTGCTATTCATAGACACCGTCAGGGTTGGTTTAGTGGGTGCGGATTGGTATTTGTGGCAGATTCACAGGCTTTTCACAGGGTGTGGCTTGCTATTCATAGACACCGTCAGGGTTGCGTTTAGTGGGTGCGGATTGGTATTTGTGGCAGATTCACAGGCTTTTCACAGGGTGTGGCTTGCTATTCATAGACACCGTCAGGGTTGCGTTTAGTGGGTGCGGATAGGTATTTGTGGCAGATTCACATGCTTTTCATAGGGTGTGGCTTGCTATTCATAGACACCGTCAGGGTTGCGTTTAGTGGGTGCGGATTGGTATTTGTGGCAGATTCACAGGCTTTTCACAGGGTGTGGCTTGCTATTCATAGACACCCGAAGGGTTGCGTTTAGTGGGTGCGGATTGGTATTTGTGGCAAATTCACATGCTTTTCATAGGGTGTGGCTTGCTATTCATAGACACCCGAAGGGTTGCGTTTAGTGGGTGCGGATTGGTATTTGTGGCAAATTCACATGCTTTTCATAGGGTGTGGCTTGCTATTCATAGACACCCGAAGGGTTGCGTTTAGTGGGTGCGGATTGGTATTTGTGGCAAATTCACATGCTTTTCATAGGGTGTGGCTTGCTATTCATAGACACCCGAAGGGTTGCGTTTAGTGGGTGCGGATTGGTATTTGTGGCAAATTCACATGCTTTTCATAGGGTGTGGCTTGCTATTCATAGACACCGTCAGGGTTGTATTTAGTGGGTGCGGATTGGTATTTGTGGCAGATTCACATTCTTTTCACAGGGTGTGGCTTGCTATTCCACAAATGCCAATCCGCACCCCTAGACGCAACAAAATTCTTCGCGTTAGCTGGCATTGCCTGGCCAAGTAGTGCCAAGGAAGTCAATGACTCAATGCTCGAAATATCTGTCCTGGGATGCTACCCGTCTGAGACTTTAGTAGGGCCAAACAAGCAATCCTACGGGATACGCCAGCATTCTGGCTGAGCACACAGTTGAATGCTGAGATTTCGTGAATTTGACACGTCCACTCTCTTTTTTGAGGGGGGTAGCTGGAGCAATGCAAGGTTATTGAAGGTTCCAAATTAGACTTTGAACGGGATTTGAAATGGAAAAACACTAGAAACAAGAAGAGCACGCCACTGCCGAGTGTTGGACCAAGTAAGCAAGAAATTACCATTACAAACACGATATGATATGACGATATGACTCACGATATGATAGGATATAACATAAATTAAGAGACCAAAAGCCAAAAGCTACAAGATATCATATAATATAATATAACTTAATCATATAAATTGCAGGCCGGAGTTGTGACTCGATAAGATCTCCTGGGTTCTAAAAGTAGCGTCCCCGAGTGCCGGCCCATTATTGTCGATGAGTCAATGGCATCAAACAGTCTTTGAATCTGAGGATATGATATGATTATGAATTATGATTCTGATTAATTTATAACTATATATAAACAGTTTATATAGTTTATAAGTAATAAGTTCTAATTTATAACTTTATAACTAGAACTTATAACATATATAATTATGCAATTATAATTATAATTTCTAATAATTATAGAAATATCGAAAATATATTATATATATAATTATATAATATTATGCTATATAGTCTATACTTGTTGTATCCATATATACTGTGTAAGTTTATAATATTATATATATATATATAAATATATGATATATGATATACGCCATGATATTATATGGAATATGACATGTGATGTATGATGTATGATCTCTGATCTATGATCTATGATCTATCATATATCATATATGATACATGATACATGATACATGATAAATGCTGCATACTGCTTATGTGGTATTATGATAGAAGGTGTTGTATTATAAGATTGATTCTATTATTCATAATAACAGCACATCAGACATAAACGTTTATGCGGTAATCTGGCAATAGGACGATATCCTGTGACCCGGCTCGATGCTGCACTGAAGTAAGCCAACTCCAACATCGCGACCCACCGTTCCACTGTTCTTCCACTTTGGCAAGTCAATACGGCTTGTGATTCAGCGCCGCAGTTCTTCTGCCCCCTGAACCTGTGAAACTTGGCCTTTGGCCTGTAACGCTCAGGCTGCAGAGATTGAGCTGACACTAAGATTGAGGACTGACTGCATTGATTGTAAGACTTGGCAGACTAGCAACTATATGCCTCGAGGCTTACAAGACTGCCGGCCCAGGGTCTCGCAACCTCAACCAAGCGTACTCTTGCAAAACATAACGTCCCCAAAACGACGAGAACTGCCAAGAACTAGTGTCCGCCGCTGCTGCTGGCTGCATCGCTGCCGAAACTGGTTCGGCCGAACTGAGCGCAATAGACGGCCCGGATGGTGCCTGCACGCTCACGGGAAACAATACCATACACTAATCTACATATAACATATACCATAGTCAGAACTATGAGGCGATATAAAGCTGTTACCACCTGCACCATAGGGCACACTGGTCGGTTTGGGGCGGCTCAAACCCTCAACGTCAGAAACACAGCCTTGCCTTGGGTATGGCCCCCATACAGTAACAGTCTATAATAGGGCTATTATTAAGGGCCTTATATATCTATATTATGAATATTATCCAACTGTTACCGAGTGGGGGCCGTACCCAAGCCTTGCCTACGAGAACACCTTGTGCACACCATGTGCTACCCAAATCCACTAACAACAGGTGTCTTCGACTGCTCTAGTGTTTTGGGTGCGAGGTGAGATGTTGAGCTGTAGTCACACCCCCAGAATACCTTACGACCCACAGTGCTGGCTAGCATCGAATCTACAATCTATAATATTCATGAATGCATTTCTGCAACGGGCAAAAGCTTGTGGCCGTAGGGCCGTATGACCATACCCTGATCTTATCATGGCCAAATGCAGCTCTAATTTGCATGCGTTGTATTGCCTATAAGGCCTTATAGGCTATATGATATAGCCTGGGTACGGTCCCCATACGATGGCAGTCCATAATAGGTCTACTATTGAGGGACTAACATATCATATCATTATTTTCATATATTATCAAGATCATCCAACTGTTACTGAGAGGGGGCAGTACCCAAGCTATAGGAGTTTGTATATAAACATAAAAAACTACATGATATATGATATATATATATATATTATATATAATATACTGTAGTCTGATTTTGCGCCAGAAATATATAATAATAATACATACATATATATATCATATATATATATATATAGAGATGTATATATATATATATATATATATATATTATATACATTATGATATATATCATCATATATATTTCTGGCGCAAAATCAGACTACAGTCCATACTATGACCAGGAACAGTTTTTGCTGTATCATCTATATCATATGGCTATCTGACTATCTAGATCGAAACATAATACGATATGTGATATGTGAACCATTCCAGAGCTCCCGCCAACACTTCCTGCCTACATGTCGACCTCCTGTCTCTGACACACGTCGAACAGTACCCTTGACCTGCTTGTTGTTGTAGAACATGGCGTAGCTCTTCGCAGTTTTCTGATAGTAGATCCGGTATTTCGCCGGCAAAGACCTGGGACGGTGTCAGCAGAAATGTCATTGCCAAGCAGCAACACAATGGGCTGGTGGGTGCACCCCACCGCATACCACCCCACCCACCCCATGGATTTCTGAAGAACGTTTCGTCGCAATTGCCACCCAATCCACCCCCACCCCACCCCCTCCCAAACACTCCACCCACCCAATTGCTACAATCATGAAAGCTTGAAGGCTTGAAGTGTAGGGTTTGGGCTGAAGCTTCGGGCTGGGCGAACCTTCTCAAAGGCTATGTGGCTCGGCTAAACTGTACTGTACTGTACTGTGCTGTTCAGACTCTGCATACTGTACTGGACTGCACTGCACTCAGTACACTATGATACTGTACAAGACTGCATACTTACTTTCATCAGCAATCAACTTCCAGACTGACAGAAAGCCACCAACCCTGATCAGCGCCAGCTAACTTGAACCACTACTAGCCACTATACTGCTTCCTCAGATTAGCCTCCCGCCCCGGTGATGAACGAATGAAACACACGTTTCAAACACACATTCAGACTCATGCAGATTCCTTCAGTTCACACCTGGCTATTCAGCTGTTCGATGATCCCTTGTAGGACTATGCGCTGAACCCTCTCCTCTATTATAATTCTTCCAATGCTGCCCCGCCTTGGCTCCAAAGCCTGCTCGATCAGTTCGAA